AATATAATATAATATAATATAATATAATAATAGGAAAGCCTCACATCCAGCATGCAGTGTGTCTTCCTAGTTAAAGGTGATGCAGCTATTTTGTCAACCCCACAAAGTTGAAACTCCTCCTTCAACACTCGTGGCCATTAGCTTTCTATAAATGTGGCACCTCTCATGTTCATTTGCTGGCCACGGTGGAAGAAGAATCTACAGCACACAGAAATAGCAGAGGACTTCACTTGATTACTTTATTGCGGTGAACTTATTATTAGACACTTGGAGCTGAAGGCTTAAACCTGGGAATCTGATTTCTAGCCTTATTCTCAGAGCAACAAACAGCTGCTGAGTATATTTTATGTGATTAGTGTCAAAGGTGTGATGTAGCATTTTGTTGTGATTAAGATTTGGAAAGTTTTTTGTTTTTTTTTCTTTTAGAAATTATTGTTATAAAGCGTAATATGTACAATCCGTATTTAAATTATATTTCCGCAGGCATCTGGTGAGAGAATGAATGCTGATGACTGCAATGGACGCTCATATGCACAAGGTAAGTTTATATATAAGGGAAACACTCCTGTACATTTGTGTGTACTGCCTCCAGACTTTAATATTTGCTTTAATAACATGGGCATATTTGTGTTTCAGGTAATGGAGGAGAGTCATCAACTGAACAGGATTTTTATGGCGGGCTGCAGGGCCCTTCAGTGAGATCTCCAAACAGTCAGCAGTCCTCACCACACCGCTCTCTTAGTGGTTAGTTATCATTGCTTTCCTACATTGTGGCCATATGGTCCGTGTAGACCACTTCATTCATATAATGTATGAAAGTAAACATGCTTTTCTCTCCATCTCTGTTCGAAGCAAACTCCATCAAGGTAGAGCTGTGCAGCGATGATGAGTCATCAGGTGCTCCACAGCCAGAGAACAAAGATGCTGCGAGGGCCGATAGCGGGAAAGATGACAGGGGTGACCCCATGGAAGAAGGGACTGCAGAGTTTGCTGGGGCTGGAAGAGACAGAGCAAACATCTACAATGAGATGGCCAGTCCAAACTCTGCTTCACCCGGACCCATCCGACTGCCTAATGGGAAGCTCCAGTGTGAGGTGTGCGGGATGATCTGCATTGGACCCAATGTGCTGATGGTGCACAAGCGTAGCCACACAGGTGAGAACAAGCCCGCAAGACAATTCAAATTTTACAGACAACATGTATTATCAGCCTAAATGTCCAAAAAATAAAGACAGTATGTAAAATGATTTATCGCAGAAATTCAGCAAAAATCCACGCGTTTCATAGGTGAGCGGCCATTCCAGTGTAACCAGTGTGGAGCTTCCTTCACCCAGAAGGGGAACCTACTGCGTCACATAAAGTTGCATTCAGGAGAGAAGCCTTTCAAATGTCCCATTTGCAACTATGCTTGCCGTCGGAGAGATGCCCTGGCTGGACATCTACGCACACATGCAGGTAAATCAGAGATCCCAGATAGAAAAATTTTTCTGCCAAAAAGCTGTGCCACATGTTTGTGTTTGTTCTAGCCCAGAATATGCCGATGTTCTTGGCTTATATACAGCATAACTGTCAGGTGCTACATACTCATCTAGAATCACTTAGGCTCACACCACATACAATGTGGCTGGCTCACGCTGGTGGTTAAAAGCCCAAATCAGCTAAGAACTGATTGCTATCTGGGCTTTAGGTGTAATACAACAGTACCTAACCCATCAAACTTATTCAATGAGGAGATTTTTCATGTGCTTGATGCATATAGGTGTAACAAAACAATTCTATTCTATATTATCATGATTAGGTGTAATGTGTGAAACAGAGGTAAACAGTAAAAGTGGGGATTCATTAGAATGGTCCTTTCCTCCTTCTGTGAAGCTCAGAGGAAGTAGGTCTTATTCACCACAAAGTTCTGTCACACACATGACAAAATATGACATTTAACATTTTCAAAAACAGGAAATCCTGCTGGTGCTGTCAATTTTTCAACAAGCAGGTGCTCATATACAGTCTTGGTACAGTAGTGGTAGTGGATCTCATCGGGTCGCACAGGTTCATTTTCGAAGAAAAGATTACTGCAAACTGGATTTCAGCGAAATGACGTCGGTGTTTCCGATAGCTTACTAAGGTGGAACGTTGCGGTCAATGGTTAGGCGTTTTTCACTCGTAACTGTCAAGCTACGTAGGTCAATTTCAGGAATTGCTAATCAAGGGGGAAATCCGTTCTATTTTTTAATAAAAATCCCCTCCCATAAACAAATAAATAGTCTTTACAGTATATATGCTAATTTTCAAGAAGAAGAAAATCTATTGTGTCAGATTTTTATTTTTTTTTAATCCATTTAGTCTCTCTTGACAGAAATCAATAATAAGAAATATTTTTCTCTGGATTGCAGTTTCTTCTCCGACAGTGGGAAAGCCTTTCAAGTGCAGCTACTGTAGCCGCAGCTACAAACAACAGAGCACACTGGAGGAACATCTGGAGCGCTGCCATAGTTATCTGAAGACTCTGGATCACCAGACAGCCGTCAACACGCAGACAGCACAGGGTAACGCATCACACAAACTCACTAATATTGTACACAATAGTCCGAGCTCATGCACATTGTCGGTTGTAAACATGTAATCCGTCTGTATGCTGATGTTTGACTGGGGTTTTCTTTTTGTAGGTGAGGAATCAGTAAATATGGAGACAATTACAAAACCTGCACTTCAGCCATCCAATGAAAAAATCCAGTTTGTGGACAGACTGGCTATTAGTATCACCAAACGTAAGAGGTCAACACCACAGAAGTTTTTGGGTGAGTTTTTGTTTTCAAATAAAGTAATTTTATTGATTTTTGTGTAAGTGTAGAAATCCGTTTTACCCAACACATTATATTTTATATCTCAGTTTTATGTCTACAACAAGACTTTATATATCAGCTGCCTTGCAGTGGAAGTCAGCCAGATGTTAACATTGCTGTACCAGTTTAGAGACACTCTGTGACAATCGCCAGATGGATCAAATGTAGTCAATCCAGGGGACACATTTTAATTGTTTCATATCACTGCTATGTCCTTTTCATAGGTGAAACGCACATGCACCTTGAGCCACCTGAAGCACCTTATGAATTGTCCTCTGGCTCGGAGAAGGAGGGGGACCTCATGAGCTCTCAGTCTGCTGGGGACTCAGCTGGGCTGGCTAGCTCACATCTCCACTGCGCGAGGGGCAAAGGCGAGAACCACGAGTCGCCTGCACTGCCTCAGCTCCATCCTGCCTTCCTGTCTGAGCTCCGCACAGTTATGGGCTCCATCAACAGCAACGTGACTCCTCAGGGCCCCCGAGCCCATAGCGGAGGTGGGCTGGCAACAATGTCTCTTGGCCTGACCGGACGGGAAGCAGGCGAAGGCCGTGAGGACCAGCCCTCAGCACACAGCCAAACCACCTCACCCAACGGCTGTCCCGACTCCACAGACACAGAGAGCACAGCAGAAGAGCAGAGCACAAGGGCTACAGCCCCGACAAGTACCTCCAACAACCACCACCTCCACTACCAAACCCCAACACTGCCCCGCAGCCATCCCACTTCCAGCCCCAGCCAGGCCAAAGACTTGGACGCAGAGTGGGAGAGAGGATGTCCTGTGCCCCCCACCGTAGTAAAGAGGAACCCTGGTTCACCCCTCACTTCCAGGGACACTGTGCAGGTGTTAGACAGGGATGGTAGACCTGTGCGCTCCTTCCACTGCCGGCACTGCCGCATCCTCTTTCTGGACCATGTCATGTTCACCATCCACATGGGCTGTCACGGCTTCCGCCAGCCATTCGAGTGCAACATCTGTGGCCACCGCAGCCAGGACCGCTACGAGTTCTCATCCCACATCAGCCGTGGAGAGCACCAGGTGGGCTGAGGAGAGGGGAACGGTTGGCTGTGTGAGGAGAGGTGACTGCTGCTCTCAAAAGTTGTGGGCTCACGTTTGTTCTGCACCAGATCAGTTGCTTTAAATCCCTAGTATAAGTAAAAGATTTGTAATTTTAATACGAGGATATTTATTATTCTAAGTCAGATGTGAGAGGAGAATCTTTTCACTGCACCAGTTAAAGTTTAGTGGAGGCAAATTACATTCTATGATTGATTGCACTCCTTTATCAAATCATTTAGCAAAACTACTGGTTTTGCTTCAAAAGTGCCTTCTTTGGGGATTTCCTCTTAACTGGAAAAAAAAGGGGGTGGGGGGGTAGAGGGGGGGGACTGGTGCTCAAAAATCGTGACTAGCCATCTTTTCCTAAGTGTTTTTGAGTAGTTCGCACTTTTAGGAGATCATGCGCACATGCAGTAAGATAAGCATGGCATGAACATTTTAAGAATTATATCGCTTAGCGTGCACTAAGAGCTTTGCTTTTGTGGCTGAGGAGGGTATTTTGTGTAGTGTGTCAGGTAAGCTTAATATGCACTGAGAGCTTTGTGCCTCTGGGTCGGGGAGGAGCTTTTGTCACAGACGAAGCACAGAAATGGATTGCCTTAACTCCTACAGTAGTACGCTGCTGTATGAATACATAATGTTTACAGCTTGGTTTAACAGTGTGTGAAGTCAGCTTAGAAGAGAGAATATTCAGGACAAAGCAAAATCATGGAGGAAATGAAGTTGAAATCGCTCCTGAGGGTGAAATGGGAGTTCAGGGCTCAACTCTGAAATAGGTTTTTTTTTGGATTTTAAAGTGAGCCTTAGAGTACTGGTGCAGATCAGACCATGAGCCATGTCATGTATATTAAGAGCCTGACTGAGATGGCCCAGGGTGCTATACCTATACAGGATTGCACTTTTTGGTTCCCTGCTTATATATGAACATCTTTGCTGAAGCACTTGATGGCTTTACAAATGTTTTTCTGTGATTGTTCTACTGCACTGATAAATCGCATAATACTCACAATAACTGATCATCTAATTTGCGACACCAGTGTGTTTTTAACGGAGCCGGGTTCCGCGGTCTGCACTCGAGTTTGCTGCAATGTGTGACTGAGAATTAAACATCAGTTCAATCTAAAAACGATTCTTTTGTGGTTTTGCACTCGGCGGTTGAGGCTGAGGTTTTAAACGATTTCCATGATGTAAGTGAATTAAGGAATTATTTAAAAATTAATTAACAACAAATCAGTTTGAAACTGTTCAGTTATCACTTGTGATTATCTATTTAGTGTTGTTTGTTTCAGCCTTGGTGTATTTAATCAGCTATATTCCAAATCTTATCCAGCATATTCCTCAAGTCCATGAAATGTTACCTCCTGCTTCTTTATAGCACCCAAATACCTTATTGCTACAGTACGGTGAGTTATCTGACAATGTTAATATTGGGAACATGAATGAGACCAAACTCAGTATTCTTACTTGTTATTGTTGGTTTGCTGCTTCATAGTTTTAACTTGATTTCCTTTAATAGCAGGCAAAATGTACTTGAAACCGTTTGAGAAAAAAAGTAATCTAAAAATGCACTTGGTTTGATAAGTAGAGAAATGTGTGTGTGAATGGAATATAGCATGTGTGCTTGTCATTTTCTGCTTTTACCTGAATTGTGAATTATTTTTTTGAAATGTGAAGTAATTTGAAGAAGTGAAAATGAGGCATGGGTTTTTGTCTCCTTGTGTGGACTCAATGTTATACGATATTTTGTGAATGATGTAACACGACAAAACACTTTACCTCAAAGTTAAAGATGTACAACTGCCTCATTATTTCAAAAAAAAAAAAAAGTCATGTTGCTTTCCGAGATGTTCTTGCAGTTACAAATGCGTGCCCCTCGATATTCTCAAAACTTTTTACTGTCAATAAAGTTACATTTATTGTAAAAGTCATTTTCTCTAGTTTGACTATAAAAGCATCCGCGTGCTTATTTATCGCACACAACAAAATAAAGACCGTCTCGCTTTCTCCTTTGTGCCAATTCAAACGCATAAAGAGGAGAGTTAAGATGTTTACGTATAATATTTCACAGAAAATAACATAAAGGCTTCACGGGGACTCGTGGGGGCATTACGCTACAGATACACTGATCCATCACGCTTTGACATCTTTCTTTTAAATTTTTTATTTTACACCACTGTACCCATCTGTAGATATCACATTCTAAGATCTATGGCATGTTTAGTTAGCAATAGGAGAAAGGTTTATTACGTTACTGCCTGCATATGAGAACCCCAGGAGAGTAAAGAAAAACACCCATAATTGTAAATATTCAGTACTACATTTTGAACTGAAGTATCTGCTGCACATAGCACACATATTTTAACATTTTGACCTTACAGTAATAATGTAAAGGTCTACTACAGGAAGCATATCTAATGATGTAGCTTAATAGAGTGGCTGAAAAAAATCAGCTACAACTAAAAATAGATATAAATATATATATATATGGGACAAGCAGCTCTTCAGCTTGTGGCCATAATATTATTTGTTTAGCATTTCTATCCTTAGAATTATTGTATAAAAAACTGATAGTTTAAGGCTTTTGAACTGGAAGAAGTAGCACAGAAATGCCAAACAATTATTTGTTAGTATTACGTCTGTGTAAAACGGTGAAGTAAGCACCGACATCATCGCACGCTATTTCTCTCTCTTTTAAAAAATATTTCATGAGCGTAAATTAGCAGTTCTGAAATCCATTTGGTGTTTTTAAAAAGCACATAAGCATCAAATATATACACAAGTATGTAATTGTGATAAATCTGAAAAAAATACATGTTTCCATAGTGAATGCTTTCAGACTTTCAGGTATAGGCCGAACCTGAAACTGTACTGCTCTGTTCGCATGTGACCTTTTGGCCCACATGACATACCTTTGTTCTACTTTTTTGCAGGTTATTTTGACCTTTTCTGTCTTTCTGAAGTGCAACATCTGTCTTCACTGCTCCTACATACAAATTCCAGGTGCAAAAAGTACATAAATACAGACAAACTGTACAGTTAACGGCAACATTCAAAAGCACAGATAAGAGTCATGTGTGCAAAAAAATCGCTTTATCTGCGGATGAATAAATGAGCAGTGTGGAGGGCTGAAAATAAATTAACTTCGGAACTAATTCTTGACTTTCTTGAGGTTTTCATAGAACTGGTAAAGGTGATAGACAACTGTTTTGTTGATTTAGAAATTTCCTTATTTGAAATTCAGAATATCTGTCACGGCAGTATTTTCACACAGAACTGTTATAACTATAGCTCTGGTTTATTTAAACACAATGAATGAAGCCAGTTCTATGTAGAAACTACCAAATCCTTGTCTATATAAAGCAGATTGTGTCTAGACAGAGTGTTGTTTCTTACTTTGTCAGTGCGCCCATCGCCACCCTGAAGGAGGCAAACAGGCTAAGCATTGTGTGTCGAACAGTGAAGACTGAGAGCTGTACAATCCGTTTGAATTTATACTAGTGCAACTCAAAACCACTTGTCAGTGAAGCCACCGCTAATCTCTACTAATCTGCAGCACCGGTGTAAACAGATTACACAGATACAACACGAACATCCTCATCTAATGTCATTTTTAATTGCCTTTGCAAATGGTCGCCGTGAATTGTTTAATACGAACAAGCCTCTGTGAAGCAATGCGATGCTCATGAGATTATTTTTGCTAATTTGAGAACTTGGCACAACTTGAAAAACATTGCGTACTTGTGGTATGTGCAGCTTTTACATTTCTGAGGAAATAATCTGTTTGCAATCCCTGTGTGAATATGCTGAGTTTGAGTTGTGAATTTACAAAGAAATGCCACCTGTCCTCAACAGGAAGCTTTCAGGCAGCACGTTTTTACCTAATTTACAGCACATCACCAAACCACTGTAGCAGACTGTCTTCCAACGCAAGCTCGGTCTTTTTAATACCGTATTTCTACTGACGTAGTCAATGCTTTCCACAGCCTTCCGCTCTTACCACTGTGTTGTATTCGTTGTCAGAGCCTTGACATGTGTGTAATCTATCCGTCAGTGAATAATAGGTCACATTTTTTAAAAATTTGTCAGTAATGTTATTATTATTAAAGACTGCAGCTGAAATCTGCTCATTTATTAACTAACTGATTTCAATTAACATTTGACCTTTGACAAGATTGTTTTGTCAATTTAATCTGCTCTCTGAGTGACTATACTTAAGACCAATTTAATAAACTAATTGTATTAACAGCCTGCTTTAAATTGATGCACCCAGGATGTGGTAGGCGACCTCTGAGGAGAGACACTGCATCTTTTCTCATGCAGAGATTATGAGCTTTTTTTTTTGCCTCTATATGGTGTGATTTGGACTTGTGGAAAGAAAACATCCAACATACACATTTAGGAGTTTATTTTAGTACATGTTGTGTACTTAGCAGGGCTCCTCGACCTTCATACCTCAGTTAAAGCACTGAGGTTGACAAACCAGATGCTCCTGAAGGTTCCAAGATCCAGGCTTAAGAACAGAGGCGATCAATCCTTCACAGTAGCTGTTATTCATCTCTGGAACAGTTTACCTTTCCATGTTAAAACTGCTCAGTCTGTAAAAACTTAAAAATCGCTGCTTAAGACTGTTTTTGTTGCCGTTAGATGTAAGTAGACCCCCTGACTTCATCGACTATTGTGTTGTATTGTTATTTTTTCTATTATTTTATTCATTTTGATAAGTTTTGTCTCTAATTCACTGTTTTCTTATTTTATTTGTTTATTTATTTTCCTTTCCAAACTGTACAGCACTTTGGTACGACTCCTATGGCTTTTAAATTTGCTTTATACATAAATATGACTTGTATGACTTGACTTAACTATTTTTGGATGAAGATTTCAATTAAAATCAAGCTGTTCTTGCAAAATGTGCCCCCCCCCCACCCCTCATATTACAGCCAAAGTAGCACTTACATAAACCTTCCCTTTTATTCCGATCTATATTTTGAAGATTGTTACAGAGGAGTTTGTTCATACGTCANACACACACACACACACACACACACACACACACACACACACCATTAACAGTATGTGGGTCATTCCAGAAGGACATTTGGGCTTCAAACATTTTTAAAAATAAACCTCTTTTTCAATTTTCTGTTATGTATTCATCAATAATAGGTAATCAACTGTAAAAAGCTTGATTGGCTCGTCTCAGCGATCAAAGGCATATTGTTTTAATTGTTATTTGCTATATTTGGCGCCAC